GCTTTAAACGCATGGTAGGCAGACGGGTCCCGGGATCGTTGCCGTACGTCCTCACATCAAGCAGTTTTGTGACACATCGGCCACGCTTGCATGCACCAGCCACTGAACCTAACTTCCTTCTCAGATTGACGAGGTGGCTCTCAAAAGCTTAGTCATGCACTTGCACTCCATACGTGGCCGCAGCCTTGAGGGCCTGCCAACTCCACCCTTTTGGTCGTAAGATACCGTCTTGACGCCCTGGCAAACTTCCTTAAGCTGTGATTCTGCTGAGCCGATGTCTTGTGCCTTTGCCTCTTGGTTGCCCGAGCATGTCGTTTACCCGCGCCCTGGTCGATGCCCAAGTAACTTGTCTACAAAACTGGCGGTGCATCGATGCCACGAGCACGCAAGGACTTACCAACAGACTTGGCAATCTGATGGTGGGAAGCGGTGACGACACTTTTCGAAGCCAAGGCGAGGTGTTCTTCTCCAAACAAAGCGGCAACTTCCCTCACACTCTGCTGCAGGGCACTTTCAACCTGTTTAGCCGATCCTCTAGAAACCAACGGTGCATCATCCATCCATATGCGTCCCCCCATCCTCGGGTGAGCAATAGATATCTTATGACATATGGAATACGTCATGCACCTAGCTAGACGAGCTCCGTTTCCCAATCCCTGCACGATGCTCTGAGTAGGTTCGGAGGCGAGAGAGTGAGCGCCGAGTTGGGACAAAAGACGAGGACAGACGCAAAGCTGCAGCTCAAGCATGAGGAACACAGGATGGAACCCCAGCTTCAGGTCGGCGTGCACGAGCCCCACCACCTCATCCCATCATAAAACCTCCTGTATCGAGCACGGCTTGGCCGTGCGAGGCCCCTAGTTTGGCAGAAATTTCGGCACCAACTACCTTAGTGGACGCTTCGTGCATGGGTGAGTTCCCAGCTATCGCAGCGCCCCACTTAGGGCTCGTGTCACTGGCCCAATCCTTGGCAAGGTCGTCGCGACATAAACTCCACAATCGCGAGAACATCGCAAGCAAACCGGTCAGCCTGTCCCCCGACGATTCTTTGGGAATAAGACAGCCCGGGACCAACAGCATTTGCCACGGCCAAGTGAGATTTGATTCACTATTAGTATGTATAGTCGCTAGTTCCTCGAGCCCCGCATCGGGAAGCCTCTCAAGATCGAGAGGGGTCATGCGATCTACGCCGAGACCCGCGCGCGGACGCATCTTACTGAGCCCCTTCCTCAAGGTTGGGACCGTCAAAGGAACTAACTGCTCGACTTCCGCATGCTGCCTAGTCGTTTGAAACGCATCCTGAACGACTTCCATGGAAATGGCCTCAGGGGCCCAAAGTTTGTGCCACTGCGAAACCTTGGCATCAACAATATCCCTGGGATGATAATGCCGCTGACCCCTGTGGTAAAGTTCGTCGGCAGCCTGCGGTGATGAGCGAAGACAGCGATGCAAAGCGCCAATGGGGGACTCTTGAACAATCCTGTCTTGGAACTTCCGAATGGGCGCCTGCATAGCTTGCCGACGGGCGCACTGTGTTATCTTATCTGCTTGCTGCGCCACGTCATCCAACGTGTCCAGAGACAGCGAGTTGATATCCTGAAGCCTGTGCTCCCAGCGTTCCCAAGACCAGTATTTCTTTCCAGGAATGATAGCCGCCAAAATTTCACCTGGAAGATCCTGAGCAAGACTGCGAGCTAGCGCGACGACGCGAGCGACTTGTATCGACCCATTCTTACGTACGCGATGACGGTGAAAGCGCTGCAGAACCGCATGGATCCGAGCCCGCCACGATGCAGTCTGATCGGCCAGCGGCTCATCTCTCAAGCGCTCAGTTTCATGAACTGGGTGCACGACAAGTTGAGGCCCCTGAGCCCTCGAGCGCCCTTGAGGTTCCCACTCGTCATGATGCTGCCGATGCATCTCTTCAACGGTACGTGCCCATGAAGCAGAAAGCCCGCTGATAGGTAAAACATGCTGCCCCCCAACTTTGAAAGCCATGCTATCTCGAATGACATGCCGCGCATCCGCTTGAGTCTGACTAGTGAATCCAACATCGCTCCTGGCGCTGCCCCACAAGTGAGGGGGGATGTGGTGGGAAGGCTGGCTATCATTGCAATGGTGACTAGCTCCAGCCGGATCGACCGTGGGGACCTCGGGGTTGGGGGCACGACTTTGGTCAGGCGGCCTTGGGATATCCTCGGCCCAGGGTTCAGGCTCTTCGGCCCAACAGTCAGGCTCGTTGAAAGCGGCATTAAAAGGGTCTTCGGAGTCCGTGGAGCTTTCCGGAGACGATTCCCATAGACTTCCTGACCCTTGGGATCCAGCAGGTCCCCGAAAAACCGAGCGCAGGCTTCGCTAAACTGTTCTTGAACAACAGTCCTACGCTGCTGCTTGGTCAACTTGGCCTGCTGCGACTTCGAATTGGGTTGTGGCTTAGCCAGGGGTCTGGGCAGTTGCGGGAGCTTGGAAGCGAGGAGGAGGGACTGAGTGATCAACTGCATGCCCGCACTGCGCAAAACCATGCTGAGTCCGCAGTGGGCCCCCCATTGGGCGCCCAGCACAGGCTCCAGCTTGAGTATGTACCGGCACGCAGACTTGGACGTGAGGGGGAAATCAATGTGTGAGCTCCCAGACCCCGGCACGCAGGCATGTTCTTCCCCGCATGTGAACACAACGCCGCCTACTTTATCCATAAACCCGCATTTAGCTAGCTGAGCGGGGCGAATGTTGAAATCCCCTATGACGGCCCAGGGCAACTTTAAAGATTCCAGCACCGCCCCCAAGCGTGCTAGTCTCTGAGCGTTTGCCCCGGAAAATCCCAGAGAGGAAATCCCGTAGTATATAATGAGAACAATTTGATACCCAGACATGTGAAGCACCGCGGGGAGAAAGCCGTCGAAAGACTCACACTGAGGAGAGGCAAGTTCAGGTCGTCCCCAAACCTTCGACATGAACGTGCCCTGGCGCAAGAAAGAGCTCACCTCCCTCCCCGCGAGCTTTCTGGCTGTCACTGCCGTGTCTGGCCTGGGGTGATTAAGAAGCGACCGAAACTTCTGCTGCCGAATCTTACCAGTCCACTCGCTGACGCGAGATTTTTAAAAGGTGCGTCTTTACAATGCCGAACAATTGAAACCGCTGCCTCGCACCTTCGGCTGAAATCTACTTCCACGCTTGGTCTCCTCAGCATGGGACATTTCTTGACAGAATGGCTGTGCTGTCAGGCTGATCACAATCGCGTGCAACAGGCAAGGCTGGGCTCCAGGCAAGCCCGTCTTCGTAGGCGGTGGCTCTGCTTGGGGGCCCTCAGACGACAACAAAGTAGCCGACGGCGACGGAGTGGCCGAAGACGACGTCGTCACAGAAACCTGGCTGCTGGGCGCGGGCTCGCGGCTACCTGCAGGTTCGGTAGCCGCCTCGGCGCCTCGCGGCGCGGTGCCTGCAGCGGCCGCGGCTGCGCGCTGCTCCCGCTCGAGGCGCACCACTTCGAACTTCGCGTCCGAGATCCTCTTGGCCTCCGCCTCGAGCTCCTCCTCTGGCGGCACGGGCACGCTCTCGGCGGCACTCGCTGCCGCCGCCGCTGCGGCCTGACCGCCTGCGGGCTGGCTGCTGCCACTGGCTGCGCCACCCGAGCCCTCTTCGCCTGTGGCGTGGGGCTGGCTGGTCGTGCCGCCGCAAGTCGCCGCGTCGGGCTTGGTGATGCTTGGCTCTCCCTTGCGCTTCTTGGCCATGCGCGTCTGGGCCGCCGCCTGCAACGCCAGCATGCGCTCCTTCCACTCTGTGATGTTGCCTTCCTTGTCGTGCAAGGTCTCGCGGACCTGCTTCAAGTCCGCCTCGATGGCCCGAAGCTCGCTCCGCTCGCTCTCCTCGCACTCGTAGCTGTCCAGTTGGGCGACGAAGTCTTCGTACCAGACGATGTCGTAGGTGGCCATCTTCTCCTTCTGCACCTTGGACGCCTGCGCTGGAAGCACGCCTGCCTCCTGCGCCAATGCCCTGGTGGCCAGCTTCCTCTGGTGCTCCGCGAGCGCCAGTGTCTTGGCAGCCTCGACTTCCTTAGCCTCGGCTGCCTGCAAGTTCTCCTTGAGCTTGAGAACCTGGTTGGCAGCCTGCTCGTGTTTGAATGCGGCATCCTTCCAGCCGGACGTGGCCTTCTTGACCGCGTCGTCCGCCGAGTTGGGCTTAGCTGGAGGGCCGAACGCCTTCAACGACTGCATCTGTTCGAGCAACATTTTCTTCTGACCAATGTCCTGCATGCCACGTAGCATCTGCGACAAGAGAGCCTCGACCTGCCTCGCCTGATCTGCGGTGGACACGCCATTCGTCTTGTCGGCTGTGCCATGAATCTGGGCCAGCTGATTATCGCTACCCTGAGAACATTCATTGCTTTTGCGGGAGGGCTTTGGCTGGTAGATCTTGACTGCACACCTGCACTTCGCACATTGGTTGTTAGCTGCTGCGAGGATGTCGTTGTATTCATACGTGTGACATCGAGCGCAGCACGACCATGGGCGAGACGGGTTCGATGCCATTCCTCCCTGCTTTCGTCAGCGGAATCGACTGTCTGCCTGGAGACGGGCGGCCCGCTGTCCCCCAAGCACCTCGTGACGGCGCAGGGACCTTGGCTGAGTGCTGCAACATGCGCGCTCTAGCCAGAATTGCTTGAGAGGAGGCAGCAGGAGGAGGCAGCAGGAGGAGGAGGAGGAGGGACCAGGAGGAGGAGGAGGAGGAGGAGGAGGAGGAGGAGGAGGAGGAGGAGGGATTAGGAGGGAGGAGGAGGGAGGAGGAGAGGAGGAGGAGGAGGAGGGAGGAGGAGGAGGAGGAACGCACCGTCGGCGACGACGGCGGCGGCGGCGAGCAGTGGCCTGCGAAGCCACCCCGCGCCAAGGCGCCGGCGGGGCAGGCGCCCCCGACCACCACCACGCCGCGGCGGCGGCGGGCGGCGGCGGGCGCCGGCGGCGGCGGCGGCGAGCAGCGGCTCCGCGGAAGCCGCCCGCGCGCCCGAG